TCCACTACTTCCCCTGGCAGGTCGTTCCATACAAGGACCACACTCTGTGTAAAAAAATTTGCCCCTTTAGTTCCTTTCAAATATTTCCCCTCTCACCTTAAACCTATGTCCTCTAGTTTTGGACTCCACCACCTCGGGGGAAAAGGCCTTGGCTATTCACCCTATCAATGCCCCCCACGATTTTATACACCTCTATAAGGTCACACCTCAGCCTCCGACACTCCAACGAAAATAGCCTCAGTCGATTTAGCGTCTCCCTGTAGATCAAACCCTTCAACCCTGGCAACATCCTTGTAAATGTTTTCTGAACCCTTTCAAGTTTCACAACATCCTTCCTATAGCAGGGAGACTAGATTTGAAAGCAGTATTCCAATAGTGGCCTAACTGACATCCTGTACAGCTTCAACATGACCTCCCAACTCCTTTACTCAACACACTGAACAATAAAGGCAAGCATACCAAACGCCACCTTCACTATCCTATCTACCTGCAACTTCACTTGCAAGGAACAATAAACTTGCTCTCCAAGGCTTCCTTGTTCAGCAACATTCCCCAGGACATTCCCATTAAGTGTATAAATCCTGCCCTGATTTGCATTTCCAAAATGCAGCACCTCACATTTATCTAAACTCCATCTGCCAGTCCTCGGCCCATTGGCCCATCTGATCAAGATCCCATTGTACTCTGTGGTAACCTTCTTCACTGTCCACTACATCTCCAATTTCAGTGTCATCTGCAAACTTACCAACCATACCTCCAATGTTCCCATCCAGACCATTTATATAAATGATGAAAGGCAGTGGACCCAGCACTGATCCTTGTGGCACACCGCTGGTCACTGACCTCCAGTCTGAAATGCAACCCTCTACCACCACTCTCTGTCTTCTACCTCCGAGGCTGATTCTTGATTTATACTTTGTCTTACAGATAACTACTGTTAAGGGGCCTATAAACTACACCCAGCAGTAAGTTATTTCCATTGTTATTTCTTATCTGCACCTACTGTATTTCTACACATTGTCTTCCAAGCAAAGATAAGATGTTTTCTGATGAAGGGTCTAGGCCCGAAACGTCAGCCTTTCTGCTCCTATGATGCTGCTTGGCCTGCTGTGTTCATCCAGCCCTGCACCTTGTTGTCAAAGATAAGATGTCACTGCTGCACTGGTCACCTTCGATATTACAAAAGCTGTTTTGCCTCCTTTACCTTGTCTCATCCTTCTGAAATGTCAAGAACCCCCATCTATTCAGTTTCTAGACTTGCCCACCTTGCAGTTAGCTCTCTGTGCATACTTACTTCTATTTGTGCCATCAATTTACTGATCTATCTAAAGGCCTGTTTCTGTGTTTCATTGTCTCCTGCTTGAGGCCTGAAGAAAATAATTTGGACATTTGACATTTGAGATTTGAGCAATACAAGATTCGCTGCTGGTGCCTCAGCTATTTACAATCTAAACTAATAACTCTGATGAAGAGTCAGAGAGTAAAGTATATGTGTTTTCTGATGATACAGAGTTAGGTGAAAATTTAGGATGTTGGGAGGATACAGAGAGGCTACAAAGAGGTGGTTAAGTGAGTGAGCAACAGATAGGTTTTAATGTAGGAAAGTATGAAGTTATTTACTATTCACTAAGAACAGAAAAGCAGACTAATTATTAAAGGGTGTAAAACTTGAAAGTGTTGGTGCTGAAAGAGACTTGGGATGGGCTTGTGATACTGTAAGCTTCAAAACATTAATAACTGTTCAGGGATAGAAAGAATTAACAATACCTCTTTCTGGAATAAACTGTTTCCTGAGATGAAAGAGACAAGAAGAAACTGTTATAATGGAATTAAAAGGAACATCCCTGGGAAGAATGAGTTGAAGCGATGTAACTGTTTCCTGGGAGAGAGGAAGGAACAAATGCCTGATAACTTAGTGCCTTATGAGGAATGGACGATTAAGATTGCTTGCATAAGGAATGTCCTGAGGTGAAGGGATAAATGGCAGGAAAGTCAGTGTTTGGAACAAACAGTTAACGAGGAACAGAGAAGCTACTCCTGATAAGAAAACAAGCTCCAGTCCTGATGACTCCAGAAGTGTAATCAATGTTGCGGATGAACAGATCTAAAGGATCATCAACAAGGTCACATCAGAAACTTCACAAAACAGAAAATCCTATAAGAATTCAACTTCAGGATTGTTTAGCAGCAGAACTTTGAAGAGCAACATGGCATGAGGTTTGAACCCTGGACATCTAGAGACAGACAATGTTAGTTAGAATTATAGCTAAATTCCACCATTAATCGGGTAATAATGAAGTTGAGCTGTAAGGCTGAACTTGCTTACTTGAAGGGTTTTATTTTGGTTGTTACATGCAGTAAAGTTTAAATAATTGTTTCAGCATTTGATTGTTTGTGAAATTTCTTAATAAGTAGTTGAATTAAAGATAGCTTGTGATAACTTATACACAGCAGGCTTGTGCAAGGAACATAGACAGTTAGCATGTGAGTATAGCAAACAATTAGGAAAGCAAATGGCACATTAGCCTTTACTGTAAAGAGTTTGGAGTATAGGAATAAGGAGGTCTTGCTACTATCAGTAGAGGGAGAGACTACATGTGGAATTCTATGCAGTTTCAGCCTCCTCATTTAAGAAAAGATATAATTGTATTGGAGACAATAGTAAGAGAATTATCCTTTGATAAGCAGCTGAGCAATTTGGATCTATTGTCTTTGGAGTGAAGAATTAGAGACAACCTCACTGAGAAGTACAAGAGTGTGTTGGATTGCTCCCCAGTTGCTTGGATGACTACAACGCTAAGAAGCAGCAGCCATCATCCAACCTACTCGACATCTCCTCTTGAGACAGTCCCTCCATGCCTAGGATCAATCTAGTGAAGATTCTCTGCAATGCCTCCAATCCCAGGATCTCCTTCCTCAGATAAGATGACCAAAACTGTACACAGTACTCTGTGTGCTATCTAACTAGTTGTTGTATAGTTTTAGCAAGGCTTCCCTATTCTTACATACTATTCCTTTTGAAACAGGCACGATAGGTCGAAGCCCTCCTTATGTACTGTAAATATCTATGATTTTATTATTCTATAAATAAAGAATTCCATTTGCCTTCCCTATTATTCACTGAAATGGTATACTAGCTTTTTATGATTCATATATAAAGGCTGCCACATTTCTCTGTGCTGCAGCTTTCTCCATTTCACTAATGTTCAGTTCCTCTAGCCTTCCTGCCAAACTACATCAGCTCATATTTTCTTACATTATATTCCATCTGCCATGTTTTAGCCCACTCACTTAAGCATTCTATATCCATCTGCAGATTCAGTATGTTATCCTCACTATTTGCCATCCCACCTATTTTTGTGGCATATATTCATGTGTCATATCTTTTTTTTAAAAATTCACTCATGGGACACGGGTACCACTGGTTGGCCAGCATTTCTTGGCCATCCCTAGTTACACTTGGGAAGGTGGTGCTGAACTGCCTTCTTGAACTGCTGAAGTCCACCTGCTGTATGTAGACCCACAATCCCATTAGGGACAGAGTTACAGGATTTTGACCCAGTGACAGTGAAGGAATGGCGATATATTTCCAAGTCAGGATGGTGAGTGGCTTGGCGTGGAACTTGCAGGTGGTGATAATCCCAAGGATCTGCTGCCCTTGTTGTTCTAGACAGAAGTGGCCATGGGTTTGGAAGGTGCTGTCTGAGGATCTTTGGTGAATTTCTGCAGTGCATCTTGTAGATAGTACACACTGCTGCTACTGAGCTTCGGTGGTGGAGGGAGTGGATGCCTGTAAATGTGATGCCAATCAAGTGGACTGCTTTTTCCTGGATGGTGTCAAGCTTCTTGAGTGTTGTTGGGACTGTACTCATCCAGGCAAGTGGGGAGTATTCCATCACACTCCTGACTTGTGCCTTGTAGAAGGTGGACAGACTTTGGGGAGTTAGGAGGTGAGTTACTTGCTGCAGTATTCCCAGCTTCTGACCTGCTTTTGTAGCCACTGTGTTTATATGGTGAGTCCAGTTGAGTTTATGGTCAATGATAACCCACAGGATGTTGATACTGGAGGATTCAGTCATAAAATGTCAAGGAACAGTGGTTAGATTCTCTCTCACTAGAGTTGATCATTGACTGGCATTTGTGTGGCATCAGTGTTACTTGTCATTTGTCAGTCAAAGCCTGGATATTGTCCAGGTCTTGCTGCATTTGAACTTGGATTGCTTCAGTAACTGGGGAATCATGAATGGTGCTGAACATTGTGCAATCATCAGCGAACATCCCCACTGCTGTCCTTATGATGGAGGGAAGGTCTTTGATGAACTAGCTAAAGACGATTTGGCCTAGGACACTACCTTGAGGAATTACTTTTTCAGAAGGGACCTGCCTGTTCTCGTTAACCTGCTGTAGAAGCTTAGCACTGCACAGTTTCCTGCAAAATATCTCCTCACAACCCTGGGTTCATACATTACGTTAAAAGGAGGCTGAGGCAGGAACTTTGCTGACTGTGGTTACACACTAGCTGACTCCCTGTTGAGTTTAGGCCACATTGACAAGTTTCCGATGTGATGTAAATTGTTAACAGACCATGTTGCACACAGCCTTTTGAAACACCTGGAGATGTAGAGCCAGCAAACATTTCCAAAGGGGCAACATAAAACATGACCTTCTTGCGTCAGGTTCAAAAGAAGTAACATTTAATTGGAAAATGATATTCAGATACAAATGTATTGTACTCATATAAATTAATTTCCTTTCTTAACTAATTGCAAAAATAAAGCATTCATCAAGGTTATAGAGTGACCTCAGGTGAATCGTGTGTGGCATTATAGATCTGTTCATTAAAATAGTTTAGAAAATATATTCAGCCTGTGCTAAATTAGCAAAACGATAGCACCTCCGTACTCAGAATGATTGCTGGAGAGTATAAATAAGGTGAGGATTCAAAGATGCTCAGTGCAGTTTGGAAGGTTTTCTGGGTCCCGTTCCAAAGGTGGGACATCATGCAGTCTGCCTATCTCACAGTTTGCCTCCTGTGCCTCATCAGCTTCACCTCAGCTTGTTACATCAACAACTGTCCTGTCGGAGGCAAGCGATCCATCATGGACATGGAGGTCAGACAGGTAAGGAGCAACTTTCTTTGCCTTTCTGTCAAGATATTTTAAGCACTGCTGATTCTGTTGAATGATTAGATTAAGAATTCAGAAAGAGTACAATGAATAGTGGAAGATACTGGACCGTTTCTTTTTTAACCTTTTGCTGCTGATTTATTTTGTTACATAGCTTGTATGCAACTCTTGATCAGAGTGCTGCTTCTAAATTTGCCAGCTGTTATAAGACAAATCCCAGGAAGGTCCGTCAAATACTCTCCAGTCTCTGACCATCCAGTTAAGCAGCCTTTTTAACCCATCTCCAATATTCTCCTTACCTAATAGACAGAAGGGGGTCAAAGAAAACTGGGGAAAAATGTAATTATTTTAACATTCCTAAGATTTCTCTGGCAGACCTGTCTTAGTGACTTGAAAACAAATCTTCAATTTCTGTGTTAGTGACCCTAATCTTTGTTAATAGTTTTCATAGGACAGTATTTAATTGATTCTTCTGAGCATGAGACATTACATAGACATGCATTACCCATTCTGTTGAAGCATTTCACAGAATAACTCAGCACATAAGGAGGGCATTAATTGTCCTTCTCAAGGGCATCTAGAAATGGGCGACAAATGCTTGCCCACCAGCGATGTCCAGATCCCATGAATGAATTTAAAAAATCAGACCTGTTCAAACTCTCCAAAAGAGCTACAGTTACTCCCACTCTGTTGTCCTTTCCCTATTTCAATGATTCATCTAATTCATTTTTGAACGTTCTTACTGAATCTGCTCTCCGGGCATGATCATTAAGAACAGTTCTCATCAGCCTCAGGTTTGCCAGTCACATTAAAATCACGGTTTCACATTAGGGAAACCACATAGTAGGCCGAAGGACCTGTTACTGTGCTGCACTGTTCTATCTTCTAACTCACACTCCCAGCCTCAGCCAATGCCATACCCCATCCTTGAAAAAGAAAAGCAGCCCGTTCTGTGCTATACATACAAAGAGGAATTCTGGGAGCAGTCCGATGCTGAGGGATCAGCAATCGGTGACAAGTATTCAGGTTACAGTACAACCAAGTTCAGGTAGTCAGAGAAATAGCATTGTTGTACTTTGGAGGCTATATGGCTGACACTGTACAGACCACAGAATGAGTGTCCACATTCTGCTTCAAACATTTCTGCTCATGGTGTACTTGGTAATATCTGGCCTTTTTTTTTCATTTTTTGTGGATGTAGGTATTGCTGACTCGGCCAGCATTCATTGCCAATCCCTAACTGCCCAAAGGGTTTAGTTATACAGAGAGATTTGCCACATAAAACAATCACATCTTTATATCTGTTAGTGAGTTTGCAAACTAATAGGGTTTCGCTCCCCCCCAAGGATGAGGAGGAAAGTCTGAATTCATTTAATCTCCCTTTCCATCTGTGAGAACAAATATTCTCAGTGACAGTTTGCTTCTTCCATCTTTACTTTACATCCCATACCCTTATCCTGCTGAGGTCAGTGGTTGTTGTTTGTGCTCAGTTCCCTGGGGACTGTTAGCACTGATCTCTCACTCAGGTAGATTTAAAGGCAGTGTCTAACAGACACCCCTTCCAATACTTTGAGACAAAGGTGACACAAACATTGTATTCAGTGTGAGGTTTCTTCCCCCAAACAGACAATCACAGAATCTCTACAGTGTGGAAGCAGGCCATCTGACACATGGAGTCTACACTGACCCTCCAAAGAGCATCCAACACAGACCCGTCCCCCCACCCTATCCCTGTAACCCTGCATTTCCCATGGCAAACGCATACAACCCACACCCTGAACACTATGGGAATTTAGCATGGCCAATCCACCTAACTTGCACAACTTTCAGACAGTGGGGGGAAACCAGGCCTCCCCGGTGGAAACTCACACAGACACAGGGTGAACGTTCCAACTCCACACAGATAGTCAGCCCAGGGTGGAATTGAACCAAGGTCCCTGGTGCTATGAGGCAGCAGTTCTAACCATTTAGTCACTGAGCCACCCTCCCTCCACTTATCCCTGTTGTTGGATTGAGCCCTGACTGGATTTGTCTAACTCTGAATGCAGTGCAGTTGGGGGGGGGCAGCCTAAGACAAAGTGAGTCTGTCTGTGTCCTCAGGGTCACATGCACCTCCAGAACCCTGGCAATCCAGTCGTCAAAATCCAGCTCGTTCAGTCCTGTTTGCCCACATATTTATCCATTAGGTGCATTACAGTGAGCTTTGGATCTGTAGCTGACCCTCATTTTTTGCTAGACGGTTGTGGGATCAAAGGTGAGGATCTTTGGGTGATGTTAAACCGAGAATCCAATGGGTGCAGGTACTATTTAACAAAGTGCAAGGGACAAACATTTATCCCTCAGTGAGCTACATTGCAATAGACTATCTCATCATTGAACTCACTGCAGCTTTTTGGGAATTTGCTGTCCACAAACCTGAGTCTGTAGTTTCCTACAAGTAACTCCACTCCATCAGCAGCAAAACAAACGCAGAGGTCAAAGACAGTTTGCATGTGCATGTCTGTTCTTCCTCAAAACATGAAGGGTTGGGATTTAGCTTCAAAGAGTGAAGCGTAAAAATTGCTTCTGCAGCTTCTCTGTAATTAAGACTCCAGTGACATAACCCCCTTTCTAATCTTTCCCAGTGCTTGTCATGTGGTCCTGGTAACAGAGGCCATTGCTTTGGAGCCAGTATTTGCTGTGGGGAGGGGTTTGGCTGCTACATTGGAACCTCCGAGACCCTGAGGTGTCAGAAGGAAGATTACCTGCTGTCTCCTTGTGAACCCAGTGGCAGGGCCTGTGGCAGCAATGGCGGGAAATGTGCCTCATCTGGAATCTGCTGTACACAGGGTGAGTAACTGGCTCATTAGTCCTAGATTGTTCAAAAGAAGAGCCTTATTTTATAGAATCCCTACAGCGTGGAAACAGGCCATTTGGTTCAACAAGTCCACACCAACCCTCCAAGCTGCATCCCACCCAGACACATCCCCCTACACTATCTCTGTTACCCTGGCTAACACACCTGACCTCCACATTGCTGAACACTATGGGCAATTTAGCATGGCCAATCCACCTAACTTGCACATCTTTGGATTGTGGGAGGAAACCAGAGCACCTGGAGAAAACCCATGCAGACACAGGGAGAATGTGCAAACTCCACACAGACAGTCACTGCCTGAAGATGGAATCAAACCCGGGTCCCTGGCGCTGTGACAGCAGCAGTGCTAACCAATGAGCCACCGTGCCACCCATCAAAGCTTCATAAAGGTAGATGTGTCTGTGTGTGTCTGTCTGTGTGTCTGTCTCTGTATGTGCGTGTGTATGTATGTGTGTGCGTGTGGTGTATGTTACGTGCGAATAGGCAAGAGAATAGCTCAAAAGTCATACTTTCATCGTCTATAATCAGAGTTAATTTGCATTCATTTGACTACAGTTAGGTACATGTTTTTTCCAGGAGGTTTCCATTGACATGGGTTTTAAATCATCTTGCAGCCCATCTGACAGGAATACCATTTATACCATCTGCTAAAAAACAGTGAAGAAAAATGGGGCAGCAGAGTGATTCAGTGGTTAGCCCTGCTGCCTCACAGCGCCAGGGATCTAGGTTCAATTCCACCCTCGGGCGACTGTCTGTGTGGAGTTTGCACATTCTCCCCGTGTCTGCGTGGGTTTCCTCCGAGTGCTCCAGATTCCTCCCACAGTCCAAAGATGTGCAGGTTAGGCGGATTAGCCATGCTAAATTGCTGTGTCCAGGAATGTGTAGGCTAGATGGACTAGGCATGGGAAAAGCAGTGTTACAGGGATAAGGTAGCAGTCTGGGTGGGATGGTCTTTGGAGGGTCAGTGATGACTCGATGGGCTGAATGGACTTCTTCCACATTGTAGGGCTTCTATGATAGTGCGTTGCAGGGTTCAGCATGTAGCACAAGATTGGAAGTGTCACTGAGACAACCAAAAAGGTGTGCAACAGGGAAATGCCACCTTCGTCAACCTTAAAAGTATCATTAAGACTGCATTGGCTGACCACAGTAAAACTGGGAGATGCTGCTTTAGTGCAAATCTCACTGTAAGTATCCTTCATCTAAAGGCTAATGCTCTGGGGACATGTTCCAATACAGGTACCACTAATAGTTGGTGAATTTGAATTCAATGAATTAATAAAGTCTGGAATTGAAAGCTAATTTTATTATTGCAGCCATGAAACTAAACGATTGCTGTAAAATTCATGTCGTTCACAAATGTAGAGAAGAAATTTTCCACCCTTACCTGGTCTGACCTACTCTAAACCCGAGGTAATATGGCTAACTCTTAGCTTCTCACTGAGCTGACTCAGTGACCTATTCAAGTTTTCTCACCACAGAAAGACAGCAATGGTTCAAAAAAGTGGCTCACCATCACTTTCTCAAGGGTATTGAAGAATGAGAAACAAATGTTGGCATTAACACCACCCATTGTATGAAAGAATTTTAAAAAGACATTGTTGGACACAGAAAAGGAAGCTCTGCTAGACCTTTCTTGAGTGTCACTGAATGTACAACATTCCACACTACAGCAGTGAAATCCCTTGTCAATCAGCCTGGAATTTAATGCTGAAATGGGAATAATTTTCATGAGCTTGTCCTTTTTCCCAGCTTTAATGATTTGCATGAACCTATTTATTATTGTTTCCTTATGTGAGCTCATTTGGAGCAAATGTATTCTAGGTGCTTTTCATAGATCCTTTGTAATCATTAAAGGAGATGGTTATTTTAGTACACATCGATTATTATTCTGTTCCCCTGTTGTAGAGAGCTGTGCCATGGATCCCACGTGTGACACCAGGACCATTTTCCCATCCGATTAATGTGTCCATTCGGAGGAACCCTGAACCCAAAACCATGAAATGTTACCTGAAGTTTGACGCTGAAACACATTGAATACAATCATCTTTTAATGCAAAATAGAGAGAAATGATAATTTGTAAAGATTTTCAGACATGTACAGTTGCTTTAGCTTAAGGCAAAATAATGCCAAAGCTTGGAAAAACAGTTATTAAATAAAACACACCAACTGTTTATATCTCTTTTCTTGAGTATTTCTCATATTCAAGCAATGGCATTTGAGAGTTGGTGTTATCGATACATGGCAAAATAAAGTCCTTCATTTCACAAGGTTGAAATTAAAATGCCAGAAAGGGAAGTCTATCTGCAGTGTTTTCACAGATGTCACTCAAACAGCCTCACAGCACCATTTAATAGTCTTCAAGCCAAGTACATGAGATGAGCTTTCCTTTGACAGAAACTCATTGCAGAATTTAAAATCATATTTCTGAGGAAAATATCTTCAGGCACATCAGCTTCATGAGCTTATAATTTACACTGGGGGCAATCTGAAAACAAGGCAGACTTCATTTCTTCTTCTGAATCTGTTGCACCAACATATCCATCTGATTTTACGACAGAGACAGGAATATAAAAGAGCAGAATGAACAAACTCATTATAATTTCATACTTATCCAGAATAGTGCTGCTTTCTTGATATGCTTAAGATCTACTTTCAATGTAAAGCTCAGTTGATTAGATCACTACAGTGTGGTAAGGCAACAGCATGGATTCATTCATTGCACCAGCAATAATACAGCAAAGAGACCTGCCTTATCACCTTGTGGAATGGTCACCTCAAGCCCTACATAAGCATCTATCTCTCTCTCTCAAATGGAGAGAGTTATTCTATAGTCCTTTGAGGATGTAACATTACACTTTCAAGATAAAAATCATTAATAATCTTCCTAAGGACAGTTGCAAACCCTGCACACCCACAGTTCTAAATAATAGAACTCTTGTTCTGGCTATAACCTTTAAATCCAGAATCACAGGAAATGAGCACTGATTTTGGCCTAACTGTACACACTCACTAAATGATGTAGCACAAAAGGAAGTGATGCAGCCCTTCATGTCTGGCCCACTTTGAAAGATCGATCCCATTAATCTCACCTCCATGTTGCCTCACAAATGACTTTGAAAAGTTTCCCTTTTTAAGTATTTATCCAATTCACTTTTAAAAGTTACCAATGAATCTACTTCCACTGTCCTTTCAGGCAGATGATAAAATGCTGGTGAATCTCCCCTGTTATTCTTTGGCCAATTACCTTAATCTGCATCCTCTTGTCACCAATCAGACTACCACTGGAACTAGTTTTGCCATACTCTCTCAAAAACTCTCACAACTTTAAATATGTGCGTTAAATCACTACTTAACTTTCTCAGCTCTAAGAATCTCAATTTCTCAAGTCCTTCCATGTAATTGCAGCCCCTTGTACTTAATTCCTGAACAGCAGAAACTCAACAAAAACAAAATCTGATAATTGACAAATATGCCTCTGAAATTTAACAAAATGGTACTGTAACCCTTGTGGGATTATGCAGTATTTTCACAATGTCTTCCCTTATTTGCAAAACCAGGTGGAATTTTTATATTGTTTATTCAAGCCACTATTCGTATTTCCTGAAAAAAATAAGAATGTTCTAATTACCACAATGCTCCTTATGATCCCTCTACGTGGACTTCGCAGCAACAGGCAACCCTCACCTTGACATAACTTGATTTCTTCTGAAGCCTAGGAAATGACAAGGAGCATTCAATTGAACTTGTGCAATACAGTTATCTTCGACCACCGTTTAGTCCTCCTTCAACCCCTTAACCTCCTCTGTAGAAGTAATTATCCCTGTTTCTTTACCTTAAGAGGTTTGGAGTAAAAAAGCCTGACTTACTACTTCAGTTATATTGAGTCTTGACTAGCCCCTGTCTGCAGAATTCAGACAAAACTAAAGTCAATTCAAATCAGAGGGGAAACACTCTACCCGTTAGAGTCATGCCTAGTAGTTATTGGAGGTCAGTCATCTCAGCTCCGGAGAATTTTACAGAGCTGACAGAGCAGAAACGGACGTGGGTGAGAGGCAAAACAAATCAGGGAGGAGGGAGGGCAGGTCTGCCTTTCTCCTTACAGGTGGTAGAAATCATGCATTTGGACATTTCTGTCTAAGGAACTTTGGGGAGTTGTTGCAGTGCACCTTGTAGATGGCCATACTGCTGCCACTGTGCATTGGTCATGATGGGAGTGAATACTGAAGCTGACAGCCAGCGTATCAATCAAATGGGCCACTATGTCCTGGGAGGCATTGAGATTTTTGTGTTGCTAGAGCTGCACCCTTCCAGGCAAATGGAAAATATTCCATCGCACTCCTGAGTTGTGCCTTGTATGTGGTGGACAGGCCTTTGTGGAGTCAGGAGATGAGTTACTGTCCATGGAGTTCGCAGCTTCTGACCTGCTATAACATGTACCTGGCTAGTCTGGCCAATGGTAACTTTAAAATGTCAATAGTTGTGGATTCAGTGATAGTGCATCATTGAAAATCAAAGGATGATGGTTCGACTCTCTTTCGATAAAGATGGCCATTGCCTGACACTGGTGTGGTACAAATTTTAACTGCCATTTTACAGCCAAACCTAAATGTTCTCCAGGTCCTGCTGCATTTAGACATGGACTGCTTCAGTGTCCGAGGAGTTGCAAATGGTGCTGAACATTGTGCAATCATTGGTGAATTTCCCACCTTTGACCTTATGACGGAGTGAAGGTCATTGATCAAGAAGCTGAAGATGGTTGGGCATAGGACATTACCCTTAGGAATGCCTGCAGAGATGTCCTGGAGCTGAGATGACTGACCTCCGACAACCACTAGGCATGACTCTAATGGGTAGAGTGTTTTCCCTCTGATTTGTATTGACTTTAGTTTTGTTCCTTGATGATACCACACTTGGGCAAGTGCTACCTTAATGTCAAGACTAATCAAACCCACTTTGCCTTTTGAGTTCAGCTCCCTTGTCCATGTTTGGATCAAGACACATGGGAGTTCCCCTCCAAGCCATTCCCCATCCTGACTTGGAAATATATTACCATTCCTTCAATGTCACTATCCTAGAACTTCTTTCCTAACAGAACTGTGGTCATACCGTTTCAATTGAAGTTATGGGGTCTACCAATTTCTTTCTAGTCCCTCTTGTTGACCGATCATAATAAATTTTAAATTTAAGCAAGTTGATGATATGACCAATTTTTAAAGTTCAGAGCTGTTAACCCCTCTCACATTTCTGTGCCTCTGCATTTGGTTAAAACCATCACATCTCTGACTTATTCCAGTTCTGATGAAAAGTCATTGGTTCGAAATGTTAACCGTTCTGTCTCCACAGACATTATCTGACCCTAATGGGCAATTCCAGAATTTTGTATTTATATTCCAGGACTTTCAACTGGAAGTAAAGATCCCTTGAGAATATCACTATGTTGCATATTCTAATAAATATAAATAAGTAAAGAGTTGTCAATTCCTTTTTGGTTGTTACATTCACGGGAAGCAGTTAGGATTTTAGCAAAGATTAAAGAATGCTGAGAGAGTAGGACTCACATCTGGAGATTGAGATAGACTCACTTCTCTCTTCCCTCCTGGATACCAACCATGGGACCAGTGTTGGGCTGTGGAAAACTCAGTGTTAACAATCAGCAGCAGGAATACCAGGAAATGCAGGTTTCTCTGGAAAGCCATTATGTTGCTGTGGATGAGCCTCCTATATCTGATTTGCGTAACTGGTGAAAAAAATAAGCCAGGTTCTGTAATTGATAAGAAACTGAAAGATTATCTCCAGTTACACCGACAATTTTAAGAGGCCATACCTAAGATGATCAAATATAATAGTGTAGAAGAAGGCAATTTTGGCCGTTCAAGTCTGTGCTGGTCCTTTCCTAGAGAATTCCTATTAGATCGCCATCTTCCCCAATAACCCTGCAATTTTTCCTCTTTCAAGCATTTGTCCAATTGCCTTTTGAAGGTTAGTATTGAAGCCATATCCATTGTCCTTTCAGATATTTTTAACCTCTACTTCCTCTGTTTTTCAGAGTCACTTGTTAAGTTTCTGCCTCCTCCTCCTTGCTTGGAATTTGGCCCCTGCTTCTCCTTCTCCTGGCAAACCTAGCTTAAACTCTTCCCAGCAGCATTAACAAGTGTCCCTGCAAGGATATTTATCCTGGCCCTGTTCAGGTGCAGTCCAACCAGGTATCACCTTCCCCACACTTTGACCAGATCAGTTACAGGGATGAGGGCTTATATGAGAGATTTCAGATATAAAATTAGGTTGAAGAAGATGGAGTAATTTTTCTCAGAGAAAAGGAGATTGAGGGGAGGTTTGAAAGACATGTACAAGATTATGACAGGTTTAAATAAGGTAGACAAGAATAAACTGCTCCCATTAGTTAATGGTATGAAGGCTGGGGGGACACAGATTTAAAGTTTTGGGTGAGAGACGTAGAAGATGGAAGAAAGAGCCTATTATTACGGTGAGCGGTAATGACTTGGAACTCAGTGCCTGTGAGAGTTTGTGCAGAGATGATGAATGACTTAGAAAAAGAAATTGGATGGAAGCTTGTGGGAAATAAACTTGCAAGGTGATGCTGATGTACAGCCAGGGTATGGGTCTGACTGCATTACTTTGCAGCGATCCAACAATGGACTCAATGGGCCAAATGGCATCCTTCTGAGCCACAATGACTCTATGGTTTGAAGAAGCAAGAGGGAGTTCTCACTAATTACCTGGCCAATATTTATAACTGAGTCAATCTCATCTGGTTATCAACACAACACCATTTTTGTGAAATCAGCTGCAGCATCTCCCACATTATGAAAATGACTGCATTTCAAAAGTGCTTTATTGTTTGTAAAGTACTTTCGGAATGTCCAAAAGTCATGAAAGGTGCTATAAAAATATAATTTATTTCTTCCCTTTATCAGTTAATAGGTTTAGCCTGGTGTGAAACTTGGTTTGGTGCATGAAACATTTCACCATTATGAGATGGGAGAAGTCACGTGAAACTTACATCAACTAAATAAGCAATTTGCTATGAACAAGGTAATTTGCTATACCTGGACAACATTAGTAGAATCGGAAGGGCTTAGATTTCAGACAGTATGAGATGCCAGCTTATTAATTAGCTCACACATTGCAACTGAAACCAATGACCAGTTAATTTGTTTTTTAGTTGGTGTTGGTTAAAACAGGAAAATCACCCAGGACAATGTCAGAATTCTGTTCTTTTTCTCCCGAAGAGTGCCTTAGGAGCTTTTATGTCCAGCCGAACAATATTGTTTTGGTTTAACACTTCAGCTGAAAAGCAGCATCTCCAATCTCCAGCATTTCCTTATCATTCCAATGAAGTGTCATCATGAAGTGCTCTCCAAAGGATTTGAAAAGGAACTCTCCTGACTTGAAGGTGGGAATACAGTCACTGATGTAGAAACATGATGAGCTGAGGGAGGTGTATCCTATGAGAGACTTGCCACTTCTATTTTACATTGGTAGTTTGGAGTACCTTGAAATCGAGAGTAAATTTCACAAGACATGGCTTTTGCTCAGGTGTGTACCCTCAAAGTGAAAGGGAGAGGCTATTACTTCAGAGGATGCAGTATTCATTCAAAATGTTTTAATCTTTAAGATTGTAAAGCAGAAAATAAACGAGCAGAGAATTTGGAGTACAATGTATGCTGCAGAGTCCACATTGTGCACTTTCCGTGCAACAATCCCCACACACTAAACATTCCCTTCGATTTCTGCCATCACGTTTGAGTTGAACACCAAGTTCCACAATATGAACATTTAATTTCTGAATTAATCTTTCAAGGTTATACCAGCATTTTAAATGTATTGGCTGGGATTTCCCATACGATACTTTAAAAAAGACTCACCAAAAGTGTCAAATAGTTAGTAATAACCCTAACAATTAATTAACCCTAGCCATTTATTTAATATTTAACCTACATTAAGAGATAGCAATATGATAAATCACATAGGATTCACCCACAAATAAAATTTAATGATGACTGTTTGATATGAAAGGCACTTTAGAAACAAAGTATTGGAAATCAATCTTATCGTTCTTCCCTAAAGTGAAACAATTTATGCATTTATTAAATTATTAATGGATTACAAGTCTGAAAATCCTTAACACTAATTAAATGAACAATTTTCAGTCAGCAAATCTTATGATCTTCCACTACTCATAAGAAACTTGACATAATTATGTCCAAATGTATCAAAGACTTGGAACTGTTAGGACTCACCTGTCAGAAGCTTGAGATTATTGCTTGCTTGCTTTCTTTCAGTAGACTGGTCGGAGTTTACTCAGCTCTCTCTCTCTCGGCATATATATAACATATATGTAACCTTTGGGGTTTGAGATGAACGTAACAGCTTCAATTTAGAATCATCCTGCATAATGAAGACCAATCAATACAATGTGACCGTGTGCAGACAGTGTCCAACATTGTGCATCTTCCAGCCTGGGAGTTTAAACTGTAGCACTCCCTGGAGAATGAGTCCACCTGTTTACACATCAGCATGACCAGTGGCGCTGCCTGGAGAGGTTAGAGCCAATGTGAGTCAAATGTTGCCAATCTTTACTCATCAACAGTTAAAACTTTGCTCCCAATCTTTCTCAACAACATTTCATCACTGTACACAAACATTACTGAAAATTGACTTTCTTTAGGTAAGTCAGTTACTAATATAGTATACTCTAAACCTCACAAACTTGCTGCTGTGAAATTTTGTAATTTTTATGATTTACATTCTTATATGTGTTTGTATAGATCTTCTTAAGTATTTATAAACATATTACTTTTTAAAATATTTATTCGGATGTAGGTGTTGCTGGCTGGGCCAGCATTTATAGCCCATCCCTCATTGTCCTTGAGAATGTGGTGGTGAGCCCTCTTATTGAGTATCTAAATGTGTTGCTAGACTATTCTAGAAGCAATATATTTTTATGGGTCCCATACATCAGCTAGATCAGGTCAGCAGATTTCCTTCCTAAAGGACACTTGTTGGTAGATGGACTGCAGCAGTTCAAGAAGGCAGCTCACCACCACCTTCTCAAGGGCAACTAGGGGCGGACAATAAATGCTGGCCAGCCAGTGACGCCCACATCCCACAAATGAAGTAAAAAGATAAGACACTTCTGTCATCCAGTGTATATTTTACAGGTCTGCACTTACCCTGAAAACATAGCTCAATACAAAATGCATCATGTGATAAATACCAAAGCATTGGCTCGTGTGTGATTTGTCATTCTGCTCCTCACATTTGGTCGACCATTAGATGAAATCATGGCCAATCTGTGTCTCAAATGTATTGACCTCCCATTTCACCTTCACTACTTAAAGCACTACACGTCTATGCCATCAAATGTCCTCAAACTTCAATCCAATCACCTCATCAATATCTGAGTGCATCCACACCACAGACCCTACAAGATCAATACATGTAACTCTGAGTGCTTCATCCAAAATTAAACCCTAAATGGGTCTAAACAGGACTACTAGGACACCCATTACTTAGTATGCTAGTCTGTTTATAGCCAAAGTTCCACTAGCCTTTTAAAATTTTTTATTTTACTTATTTACTAACACATAAGGCTACTTAATAAGAAGGCTGATGAGGACCTGTTCCATCACGTCCTTTCACTCTGGGGCAATTATAGTCCGTCCATGGATTGTTGGGGGTTTGCAAAGGGGGAGCCTGTAGAGCTAGTGGAGGGGTCAGAATCAATGCCAAAAGGGCTTGGGGAATTAAGGCTGGGGGAGAAGGCAGAGACATGTGTAATGCTGGGACAAGGGCGGTGATAGGTGGATTCTTAAGGTGAATGGGGGGTGGGGGGGCGGGTAGTAGGAGGAACTGCATCAGAGGGTAGAGTAGGTCATAGGAGTGGCTGGTACTCTGAGTGGGGATTTTCAATGTACACCACCAAAAGAGGTTTGGCAGCAGCACTACTGATTGAGCTGGTCAGGTTCTAAAGGACATAGTAGCTAAACTGGGTCTGCAGCAAGTGGTGAGGGAACCAACAAGAGGGGAACAACATATCCGACCTCATCCTTACCAATCTATCAGCTGCAAATGCATCTGTCCATGACAGTATCGGTAAAAATGACCACCACACAGTCCTTGTGGAGTCGAAGTCCCACCTTCACACTGAGTATACCTTACATCATGTTGTTACGTGCTCTGTCCATGCTAATCATAGAATCATAGAATCCCTACAGTGTGGAAACAGGACATTCGGCCCAATAAGCCCACACCGACCCTTGGAGCATCCCACCCAGACCCATCCCCCTATAACCCACACATCCCTGAATTTAGCATGGCCAATCCACCTAGCCTGCACATCTTTGGACTGTGGGAGGAAACCGGAGCACCCGGAGGAAACCCACGCAGACACGGGGAGAATGTGCAAACTCCACACAGACAGTTGCCCGAGGGTGGAATCAAACTCGGGTCCCTGGTGCTGTGAGGCAGCAGTGCTAACCACTGAGCCACCGTGCCCCCGCTAACTTTGAACAGATCTAGCAACTCAAGACTGGGTGTCCATGAGCTGCTATGGGCCAACAACTGCAGCAGAATTGTACTCCAGCACAATCTACAACTCACGGCCTGGCATATCCCCTACTCAACCATTACCATCAAGCCGGGAGATCACCCCTGATTCAATGGAAAGTGCAGGAGGACATGCCAGGACCAGCACCAGGCATACTTGAAGATGAGATGTCAACCTGGTGAAGCCAACAAACAGGATTACTTGCAGCCAAACAGCACAGGCAGCAAGTGATAGAGCTAAGCGATCCCACAACCAACAGATCAGGTCAAAGCTCTGCAATCCTGCCACATCCAGTTGTGAATGGCGGTGGAGAGCTAAACAGGTTATGAGGAGGAACATTACAAAAAGTGGGAAGGCAACAACCTAGTGGTGTTATCACTAGACTATTAATCCAGAGACCCAGGCAATGTTTTGGGCATTTAGGTTCAAATTCTGCCATGGCAGATGGTGGAATTTGAATTCAATAAAATAAATCCCTGAAACTAAGGTTCTAATAATGATCATGAATCTGTTGTCGATACTCGGAGAAAAAACCCACATTAAGACTTCGTGTTGGGGTTTTGTGTCTCCGTTTTGCTGGTTCAACTGAAAGTGTTACCGTTAAAACAGGGGTCTGGATACACATTGACATGAAAATATAAGAAACCTTTGGGGCAGTTTAACGCCAACACTGAACTTGTCAGGTAGTGATTTACAATTAATTCAATCCAAAGTTTATTAGTCTTTTTACTTCAGTGGCTGACAGAACTTAAGCATTTCCACAAATCTGCAATCCTAATTTTTAAGGAAATGCATGTGTGTGCGTCTATATATCTTAGATATATATATTACACACACACATATATAATATTTCTGAAAACCTTGCCAATTTTGACTCAGGTACGAGAGGTGTTTAAAAACTGTGACTGTGAACTAGCCTTTCTGTTTCAATGTGCAGATACAATTCAAAATGTGATGTGTGTGTACTCTTGGAAGTGAGATCTTTACTGAGATGAATAAAAGCCTCATTGAGGTCTCACCAGGAAATCAAGCTTGATCCAAACAAATAACAAGGAAACCTAAAGGCTACATGGAATTGTTGACTGAAAGTCTGAAGGGCAACGATGTTGAGAAGTGAATCAATAACCTATTTCCTTTAACTACTCAGTAATGGGATATGTTCACTGTAATTACTGTGAACATGAATTGGCATGTCCAGGTTCAGCTTGCAAACGTAAATACATAAATGCTTCAATGACCTCTTCACTAATTAGCTTGTACAGTCACAACTTGGAAGATGAAACATTTTGAATGACACCTTAATGTCTAAAATAGTAGCCAACCTAACTGCCACTTGGTTGTAAAGTTATTTGCCACTAATGGTATTCTTAACAATGCAAACATAACATTTTAATCTCCGTAATGTTCCATTCTACGGTCTTACATTGTGTTATCAAAACAAGTCTGGAAATTGCAATCAATAAACTGTGACTGTTTTAATATTTTTCCTGACCAAGTTCTGATATGTTTTTCCAGTGAAATAGGCATTAAAATCCAGAAAGAAAAGTTTAGAAACAACCAGAACTTCCTCCTTTCTGGCACAACAGCGTTCTGAGGAAATTCATGAATTGGTGACCTCTAGTTAGTCTTGTACTTGATGATCCTTTTCCTGATATTCCTCATTAACATGCATTGCGACAGACTTGCATCTGCTCAAACCCTTAGTTTACAAACTGACATTAAGCAGTTCCCCCAATCCCACCATGGAGAAAACTTCAAGTATTCAGGTCATTAAATTCAGTGAAGCTCTTTGTTGGGTGACAACTGGGCTTGCAAAACAAAATGCATATAAACAAAACTGTCAGTGTGGTTTCTCATCCACACAAACTAAAGCCAGCTGTGAAAGTTCAAAGGTAGTTAGAAAATGCTGCATGCAGATACACCACTGACAACATGGGGTTGTTGAAATTTATTGCTTCTGACTCTGGGCCCACAAGAACCTATCTTTCATGCAGGAATCTGTGGGAATTGCCCAGAAAATCTGAAATTCCAATGGGCAGATTTGTGCCGAAAAATAACAAGAAACATTGAAGTCATACAAATGCCAAGCAAAGACCATCTCCAATAACTCAGAAACTAACTTGATATTTTAGATCATCACTGAATGCCCCCCACTATCAAATCCTAGAAACTGACCTCAACTTACCACATAAACACTGTGGCTACAAGAGCAGGCCAGAAGCTAGGAATACTGCCTTCAGAACTCACCTCCTGATTCCCCATAGCCTACCCACATCTACAAGGCTCAAATCAGGATTGTGATGGAATATACTCCACTTGCCTGGAAGGGTGCAGCTCCAACACCACACAAGAAGCTTGACACCATCCAGGACAAAGCAACACACAAACATCCACACCCTCCACCATCGACGCTCAGCAGGAGCAGTGTGTACTATCTACAAGATGCACTGCAGAAATTCACCAAAGATCCTCAGACAGCACGTTCTAAACCCACGACCACTTCAATCTAGAAGGACAAGGGCAGCAGATATACCACCACCTGCAAGTTCCCCTCCAAGCCGCTCACCATCCTGATTTGAAAATATATCACCATTCCTTCACTGTCACTGGGTCAAAATCCTTGAATTCTCTCCCTAACAGCATTGTGGGTCAACGCACAGCACATGGACTAGTTCAAGAAGGCAACTCACTATCACCTTCCCAAGGGCAACCAGAAGTGTAACCCTTAAACTCAAATTCTTTTGTAATAAAGACTAGATCTGA